ATGACTCTAACGACCTTCAAAGCATAGACAGACATCATATTTTATTCAAAAGGAAATTAGATCCCATTGGAGTACAGCCGAGGAGAGGGGAGACGAAAATTATCCAACCGGTCAACAATAGGATGGATCTATTAGGACGGTTATATGCACATTCACAGAAATTGTTCCATCACTAATATGTAAGCAATTAAGGATTGCACAGCTCTTTGAACAATTTTATAAATATCATAATCAAAGAATACAAGTCGATTTTACACATCTCCATACGTCTGGCGGGTTTATAAAAAATATCTCATGTGTACACCCCATGACTTACTTGTACGGAATATTAAATTATACGCATTTTTTCTTGCATTCAATTTAAACTTATTGGATTGAATTAAATCTACTTCGCCGACAGCGCACAAACCACAATAGAATAAATGCATTCTTTAAAATTCACTCTATTTGTTTACCATAGCGACACTCTGGAGCTAGGTTCACTTAAGAGTATTATATTTCGTTCATATTATAACTCAGAATGCACAAAATTTATATCATTTAAAGAATTATCTAATCGTTGCCACATGTTCTATTCAATACAATTAAAGCAATGTATAAAAGAATTAAGCAAACAAACAAAAAAGAAACAGTTTTTCACAGACGATTGAGTACTTCTCATTAATTAATTCAGTTCTCACTTCGCGACAAGGCAAAAATACATAAAAAGTCAAAAATATCTGTTAAAAATTACAAAGTAAATCTTAAACACTTATTTCCTCGAAAAAATTCCAGAAAGGATTAGGCATGATTTAATTCGCAATAATAAATGAAGGCGTTGTTGCGAGTAATTTCTCTAGATTTCTAGAACAAAAAAAAAAAAAAAAAAAAAAAAAAAAAAAAAGAAAAAAAAAAAAAAAAAAAAAACAAAAACAAAAAAAAAAAAAAAAAAAAAAAAAAAAAAACAAAAAAAAAAAAAAAAAAAAAAAAAAAAAAAAAAAAAAAAAAAAAAACAAAAAAAAAAAAAAAAAAAGTGCCTTCAAAAACATTATTAGGTTAGTGGCACTTAAACAACTTAAAATTGTTGATAATTCTAAAAATATTGCATAGAGATTTACTAAAGGCATAAAATCTTTAACCGGAAGATAAGAACTACATAATTCAATCATTTTTAAAGCAAAAATATGTACAATTTATAAAAATATAAGAGTAAAGAATGAGATCACTGAGAGGGTAACAGAGTGGATATATATATAATATATTTATATATGTTTGGTGCGGCCGATTGAAACCAAATACGAGGTGCACATCTACATGTTATAGCAGTCCTATATACAAAATTTCAACGTTCTGAGGCTACTCGTTTTGGAGTTATGCGAGATACGTACGTACATACGTTCGTAGAAACGCCACGAAAAATTCTCTTCAGAATTCATTATAAAGCAGTTTTATAATTTTTTTGGAGGAAAAGAGTCTTTTATTCTATCCTTACGTACAGATGTCAAGCAAAAACATCGTTAAATTTCATTCGATAGCGTCAAAATGGATATTTTCGTTGAAATATGCTGCCCTGAAACTTTTCGCGATTACAATACTTCCTTTTTACTTCGTACAAGGAAGTAAAAACAAAAAACCACATTTTGGTACTAATATGAAGAATTTTAATAAAGGTGATCATTACAAGGCTGATTAGGAAAAACCCTAATCTCTTTTCTGCAAGACGTTTTAAAAGGTAATTTTTTTTAGAGGGAGTTACAAATTACCAGTTAGCATATATGAAAAATTCATATCTAGTTAAAGACTTTTTCTTTGAATAACAACAATAAAATTAATTCCAGTATCGAGAAAAAAAAGTATCAAGGTCTGACACGTCTTTTCAAATGCTCTTAATAAAATATATTTCGATGACTTTATTCCTCTTCTCCATTTACTTCTTTCCTCTTTTGATGCATTCATTTCTCCTCTTCCTTTTCCTTTCCTTTCTCTTCCTTTTACTTCTTAAATCACGTTAAATCATGCTAAATTATCAGACTGGTTTGCAGTTTTCATTGGTGTTACTTACTGAATTCGTTTATTTTTTGGAATAAAGATAAGAGAAAAGAAGATGAAGATATAACATCCTAAGTTAATTATAATTGTTGTAAAAATGGCAAATTTCATTTGTTCCTTCCACCCGCTCCAAAAAGACTCATAAAAATACTACATGAAGTTAAATGCGAAACAGAACACTCACTCACCATTTTGCTGTTAAGTAAAGGACATCTAAGAGCGAATGATGGCATTTTATGCCTTCTCTTAAGCATGCATTATGCAAAATGGATTCCTATCAAAATCTATCTATCCACAAAAGGATTCTGAAGAGAATTAATAAATTTCAATGTTGTAGCATTGACAGTAAAACAGACGTCACAGCGATACTCAATTATGGCCCACAATATGGAAAAGATCTATTATACATCGCTTGGAATTTCATCTGCGGTTCACTATTTGAGGTAGTCAAATTATCCACATGATTCGAAAAGTGAGCACGTGCTCCATCTTATTGAAAGAAGATTTGCTATTTGATGTCTTTTATTTCCATTTACTCTAATTTATTAAAAAATCGCATGTAGCACTACTAATTGCAAGTTGAAGCCGATATTAGCTTTGACAATGAAAAAAAGTACTCTTACTCATTAGGACCTACTATACACTGATTTTAAGAGAATCTTAAATGGATTATGAGTATACGCGGCTGCACATGTCGCAAAAGCCCATGCCTCTTGAGTGACTCATATTAAATAAAAACACTTCTTATCTATTTCAACTAACACATATTTCACAGTGAACTCGTTAAACACTCCGATGCCCGGTACTTTAATCGACATTTTCAAAGCAGTAATGAAATATATCGTAGACACCATAACACGAATCCGTATTTTTGCTATTGACTTACATTTTTTGCTATTTTTGCTATTGACAATTTCTTCATGCGTCTAATTTCTACATATGTCCAATTTCTGCATTATTTTTTCAATGCCTTACGCTAAATCAAAAGAAAGAGATGTGTACTCCGAGATGAATATATGAGAGTTTTCGTGTTGAGGACAAACCTCAGTTTTTCGCAAAACGAAGTACTTGCTAAATGTTTAATCGAGTTTTTCACAAAACAGCGATTTTGAAACTATACTTAAAAAATAAATAAATAAATAAATAAATAAAATGCTTTGTTGAAACATAGTTTTCACAGTCAGATCCCGATTTTCTAGGGTAATACTAGAAACGATGTCCCCGATTAACTCAAAATTACGATTTATCCAAGAAGCATTTAAAAAATATATAATAATAAAAAAGATAAATAGTTTATAGGAGGGAAAAAACTATTAAATATTTACCTTTACTCTAAAACAGGATAATGTGGAGAATAAGTCCGTTTAGTTACGTAAATTAAATCAGTATTCAAAGTTTCTCTTTTTCCGGGGTATGCATCTTTTATCTCTTTATTTCTTTCTGCCCATTTATGCTTCTTCCTCGCTTCACGTTTACATGGGCTTTAATTTTGTTACATTACTTTGTTTTTTCGATAAGAGTCAATAAAAGATTAACAACTATATACATAATTTATTTTTTAAACTGAGCAGTTTATTTTTAAAGAATTACTTAAATATATTTACATAGTCCGTATTTAGGACAATTAAATTTAATACTTTTGTAAATAAAAATAAATTCTATATACTACTATGACATGAGCTGCTATCCTTGTTGTTAGCCCACGCATTTTCCATATCACTTTTGTAGTTTCCTTAGACAGTTTTGCATCACGTTGATGGTTTCAGGTTTTCGCATCATATAGCAACATCATCATTTTATATCTACAGTAGTTACCTTTAGCGGAATTGTCACATTTATTCTCAACTCCCCAGCCCATCCCTAACTTTTTAAGAAGCTCTGCTTAGATCGTCAGCCGTGTTGCTTGTTAAAATTTGAGGCGCTGCTGCTGATGATGGATTCTCTCTTTTGTGATTGGTCCACTGGCGCGAAGTTCAGATTTTTCAACTAAGAAGTCAAAATACCACTGTGTCGAAAATAACAGTTTTTCTTTCTTCTGAATCTGCGCCGTCTGTGATATCTGCCTACGCTATCTTAAACAGACCCAGCTTGAACAGCTTAAGGAACATTTAAATGGTTGTACAGTCACGATTGTCACAGTGCTTAGGCATAAAATCATTAGCTTCGCTCATACTTGTGGAACAAGATTTAAGCCATAGCTAGTCAGGGAAATATAAAGTTGCGCATGCGTAAATGTGAAGCTGACTAAACGAAATCTTCGGGTAGTTCGTGTTTACTTCGTTGTGATTGGTCAGTTCTTATACCAAGAGACAGTTAGAACCTTTATACAAAATCATTATGCCAGTTTCCTTGACGTAGCAACGGCTGGCTGTTTAGCAGAAGAGATTCGGCTTATATTAGATATAACCATGAAGCCCTCATGTGAATGCTTTCTTATGGATGACTTTTCCAAACGTAGGAACTGTCGGTCGCTTATTCTCAAGCTACTGGCACTAAGGATTAGTAATCAGCAGATTGACGTTAGTGAGGACAGTTGAAGTACAGGCTAAAGCAGTTGAAAGCGTTTAGTTGAAGTACAAGCAGTGTGATGAGGAGCAGTATATCTCGGTTCAACTACCAAGACTCTGTCTTTCCTACAGCATGGGTTCCATGCACTTCAAGCTCATGGGCAGTTTACCCTCCATGGGAAATTAGAAGCAATAACTATAACAGCAGTGATCGCCTGAAGAGACTAAAATATGCGCTAGAGGAAATTTAAATATGGATTTTCAATTCGATTTTATTCTTAATTTACAAATGAATTAATATTCTTAAAAATAATAATTTTTAATGAAGTAGTCAATAAATAACTACTAAATCTATAATAATAAATAGATAGAATAATAACAAATAGAGTATGTAATAATAAATAGAATCTATACACCTAAATATGAATGAATAACTGATAGTTAGTAGGAAATGGTCATTTTTACCTTCAGTGCATTCACAGTGAGAGTCCAGGTAAGTGAGCACAGGTCCAGAGGCGACGGACGCTCCAAGAAGACGAGCTCGGATGAGGCCTTCGCGCTTCTGTGCCCTTACCAACTGCACCTTTGGTAACTGCGCCAAGTAGTTTTCCAGCCTCTTCTTGAGATGAGCTGCAAAAGACAAACCAAAAAGTCTTTCATTTATTTATCTTCATACATATTTCTTTATATTACTCTTAATTCTATCGTTTTATGTACCTTCAAACCCAGATATAATATTATATAAAAAATAGATACTAGACCCAGAACTAAACGATTAGTTCTTCATATCCACTCTTCCTATATAGAACCCTTTTTTATTCATTCTACACAAGAGCTACCCTTGTTACCTGTACGTACATTTCTAGCAGACTTTATGTAGTAAAACATTCAGAATTTCATAACCGCTAAGAAAATCCAACAATGATTCAATCTCGAACGATTTTGAGTCAGATTATTTGTACTTTGAGAAGTATGCTAATAATTCTAAATCCCTTATCAAATTAAGATGACTTTATTGCTCTGTTTTATAAAGCAAATGAAGATCCAGATATTATTTTAAGTTTCTACTTAATTCTTAAATCTGATTTTTTTGTGAATCACCTTGCTTTTCTTCATTGCACGTTTCTTAGCAGCTAAAGATAAATATCTCTCTCTCTCCTTCTTTTAAGGAGAAATAAAATCAGGATCGCAGCAGTTTTAGACCTTACAAATGTAATGAATAAATAAATAAATAAACTCTCAATTTTAAAAGAATTTAATTCCATATGGAATAATCTAAATACATTGAATAAAATTTCTAAAAACAGAAGCCAACTATCCAATTGAGTAAATCTTCATATACTTCAACCCACTTTGAAATTCGTTTAACTTTTTTCTTCGTGACATTTTGGTCATTCCTAGCAAGAACAACAAATAGAAGAAGCCGCAGCAATGATTCTATTTAAAAACTGTCGAAGAATTTCAGACGTCACCTACAGTTTTGCTTTAGATATCTCTTCCAGATTCATAGAGCCAATGTTGCCCTCAGCAGCGTTCTAGAAATATTCAGTAGAATCTAAACTCGGAGACCATGAAGGACAAGGATGATTCTAGAACTCAGATGTATGTTTTCGAATCACTGTTGGATAACAGTGAACCCAAGAGTCATACATTTACCCGCTTACAATTTTGAGGACGAATGAAAGCTGCAAATTTGTGTACTTAAACTTAATATACTAGCATTCATGCATTCTCAATGTTTAGTTTTAATCTTATGAGAATATATTTTTGTACACTTGTTCTGCCTTGTTTAATTGTTTGAATATGATCAAAGGCGAAAGTGTCGGGGAGCTATTTTCTCAAGTAAGAAAATAAAACTCACTCTTGTAAGAATTTTATTCCGAGTTAGAGACTACATTTACAGTTTGACAAAACCGACGATTTCTTCCTGATTTTTGATTAGCAATTTGAATCACTTTATTCCGATTTGAAGATTGCACTTAAAGTTTGACAGAACCGCAAAATTTTTCCTGATTTTCAATTAGAAAATTGAATCTTTTAAACTTAGTCTTATTAAACAGCTTTTTCACTCTTTATTCTTACATAAAGAAAGACAAAACACTTTCGCATCTATTAATTATTGTTTATTGATCAGAAGTTAGTTTGTAATTTGTAATAATGTACTTTAATAATTCCATTATAAATATGCTAATAAGTAAATTCATTTCAATAGAATTCTAACTACTTTTTTTAAAGGAGATAATATATTCAATAATCTACTAGAATATATATATATATATAAATTGATTTACATCATGTAAGGGAATTCTTGAAATGCATACGAGTAAGCTAAATTTGGGGAATTGAATATTTACGTATAATTTTAATTTTTAATTAACATATGCATAGCAAGGACGAAATACGATGCCTGAACAGTTTAAAAGAGAGTGAAATAAGCTAATTCTCCCCGAAGAGTCAGTATTGTTTCGCTATCTTTTCAACTGCTCATTTTTAGATAATTTTCTTTATATGGCTAAAATTATCATTTGCAATTTTTGCATCTCAGTTATATACAGTTCCACTACTATTAGCCAGTAACCGTAGGGCAATTTTTTTCGATCTGCCACTTTTCCTTTTACTATTTCAAGTATTTTTAAAATCATATTATTTCAAACACTTTTTAATACTTTACTAATTTAAAATAATATCAATTTTATTTAACCTTTCATTTTAATTTTTCTATCTAACCATCTAACCTTACCTATTAAGAGTTTGTAAATTAGAATTTATGTCGACTTCAAATTGTAATTCTTTTACTTTATTGAAATATTAGAATTTTAAAAGTAGTAGTTCCCTTTCATTCTTATACACAGTCAAAACAAGTACAATCTTTAGAATTTCAACACATTCTACGAGAAGAGTACAAAATTTTTTACAGAACATAGCACAGAATATGGAAAAGGGAAAAAAAACTATGCTTTGAACAGAACTACAGTTATTAAGTAACTGAACATCACAGAACAGACTCATGGTCTTATATTATCGACGCCGCCTCATGTCTTTCCGACAATTCAGTAATTCATAAAACAGTCTTTATCTGACCACATAACTTAGTATCATTAGTATCAGTTTCTAGAAGTCCAGATTTGAAATTTTCGACAGCAGCCAAAGCATAGCTATCAGACAATGGGTAATTAACACTGGCACGTGTTTAAGACGTCGACTTCTATAACCTAAAGTCAGTAGACTGCATACTAGTGTGCTTATTGAAGACCAAATATATGTCAAGAACAGAAGCTTCGTTAGCACTGAACTAGTCAGTTTGAACCACTTTAAACATTTTACACCGACACAGGTCATCAGTGTACATAAGTGGCCGTTATATACTCCCTCGGTCCTGTTCAATCAGTTTATTAACCGTATATTTACGCGCTATATTCTGTAAATGGTTGACATTAATGTTAACAATACAGCAATATAACAAATAAAAAACTCAATACAGATTTATAAGTGCATTCGTCTCCCTTGCGTTTATAATCAGAAACACTACCTTTATATAATTCACAGGAACAATTCAGTTTAAAAAGGAAAATCAATTTCCATTTTCTTGCGTATTTTTCTCCTTAACGTTTTAGCACTAGGTTCTGAAATTTTTTAAAAAATATTCGCAAAAATTTCCCCTTCCTCTGTTGTACATAATTTTTTCTATTGAAGGCTAATTTCCTAGCAAATTATTTTATTTTTCTACTGAAGGTTAGTTTATTAGTACATAGTTTCGCTTTCTTTGAAAATTATATTACTTCTATAATTTTCCTCTTTCTATTTTCGAATGATAAATTAAAAGAGGAGGGGAAATACGCGAGATATTTGCAGTGACCATTATGAAAGTGAACTTACGTAGGTCGGAGTAGTCATCGACAAGGATAATCTCTTTGATGAGATGTTCTGGTGAGCGTTCTAGGACACTGTGGACTGTCCGTAGCAGGACACTCCATGCCTCATTGTGGAAGCAAATGATGACGCTGGTCGGAGGCAAATCGGACGGATACTTCAGATCCCGACACCTAAAAAGAGATTTTTTTAAAGCTTTACAAAATATCTAAAACAAATAACAGTGTCATTATATCTTGTAACATATATTAGCACTGTCGAGAAATCTCGGGCCTTAGCATAATTATTTTTAAAAGAATCAGACATTTACTTTGAAAAGTCTCCACAGAAAACAATTAAAACCACTTAAACTGCTCACTTCTTAATGAAGGATTTTTCTCTATATGTATACTTCGTTTTGTACGCTGGTCTGAAATTCGCTAACATTGAATGCAAGAAAATGCCAATTTGAACTTCAACTTAGACAAAGTTCAGCTTTAGAGACTGGCAAACACTTCATATAAAATTCCATGCATTTCGAAGAAATCTAACATGGATTCTTTTTAAAAAAGCAAAAAATAATACTCGGTAACAAGAAAATTATTTTTGCATTTTCCTTCAAAACATTTATATGAAAGAACCTATGACAAATTCTTTTAGAATCCAGGGCCTTTATAAAATCAACGTTATTTTAGTGTTAAATTTTGCTTAGTTTTAGAATGACGATAAAAAGCTAGAAAATCCACTAAACCTTGTAATATGTAACTTCAAAATATAGTGAAATCTGTCATGATCACATTGCAAAAGTGAGATCGAACATGAATTAACAGTTAACATACGTACTGAACATCACCATTCTAACATGATAACTTCGGCAGAAAACCAAAATCCTATGGAACCGAGAGTGGCCGTCTTAAACAGGATTCGTTGCATTATAAAATTTAAAAGTTATAAAATTATAAAAAAATTCCGTTATAAAAGACTCATATTTAAACATTTTGTTAAAAATAAGTTGATGCAAAATTGTAAGTATTTAGTCCCAACGAAATTAGTCACAAGTATTATTTAAACTGTGAAGACAGGTGGTATTATTTATTTAAATGACAAATTCAGGAATTCTATCGTCTGCAATTCTTTGTTTGTGCAGGTAAATTTTGCTATTATAGATATTTGTAAACTTTATATTTTAAAAATTAGTAATAAATGGGAAACAGTATCAGGTTTTCCCGTTTGATTACTAATTTTTTTTTATTTATTTTATTTATTTATTTATTTATTTATTTTTTAATTTTTATTTATTTAAGCAAAACGCTACTTTTCGCTCTGCTACTACTTACTTTTTTTTTTTAAACCGTTTCGTTTTTGGCAACTTTTATATGTTTTAGAATTAAATGTCTTTTTGTTTTGCGAAACAACATTTTTCTCTCAGCTTCCGCAATTTTGGCATTGTTCCGTTTTTGGTAGCTTTTTATAGTTTTTAAAAGTTTTCAATTAGTTTTTTTAGTCTATTTTTAGTAAGGTTCTAGTAAGATTAAAAATCTTCGACGGTAAACTAGATTTGCCATAGAACTTCTGCTGAATAAGATTGAAATTTAATTACGGAATCAGCCAGCTTCTGCATGAATCAAAGTCAATGACCCTGAATCTTACCTGCTATCTATTCTTAAGCAACTGAAATTCCATTAATTTACCTTTGTTTTTCCTTTGTTCTCCATTAATGACAACTATCACAATACTAATTTTTTTTTTTTAATTTTAAATTGGTATCATGAAGATTGTTTCTAATACATTGATAAAAAAAATGCCGTGGAAAGGTTAGAATATTTCGTTCATTCATTTATTTATTTAAACAAACGCAAAGTCTGGCTGATTCCGTAATTAAATTTCAACCTTATTCTGTGTATTTTGAGAGTTGGCGCTTAAACAATCACACTGAAAATAAATAACAGAAGTTTGAAAAAAAATCAAACAAGCAAAAATCTAATACTGGTTATAACTGAAATGCTGGGTCTATAATTACACATTTAATAGATTAAATAAAGGCTTGCAATCCTAAATCTTGAAAATATTGTTTAACATCTCAAACAACAGATTATCACCAAAAAGGTTTCAAAAACATTTAATATAAAAAAAAGTGTCTTAAAAAAATATATAATAATAATAATACTAGAATAATGCTGCCAACTCATGAATTTAAATTTTAACTATTCAAAACTATTAAAATTCAACTGGAAAAGATTTTTAATCTTGAAAGCTCCATTGATTTCTGTATTTCTTTTAAGAATATAAAATGACATCGACAGAAAAATATCAAAATATTAAAGAGGTATACTCATGCTTGAAGGAAAAAAAATAGAATAATGCTATTATAAAAATATAGATACAGGCTTTGAATGTGTATACTACAATAAAAAATTTTATCATAACCAATTGATATTATTCTGAATGCAGACTCTGGAGCAGCTAGAGGAGGGCGGAAGATTTTTATGGTCGGCATTTTTGCATGAAATATAGGGGTTAGTCAGGTGAAACATCCAGGCAGGTGAAGAATAATTAGATTCTAAATAGCCACATAAAGTTAAATTGCGAAGAAAAAGATTTTTTACTCTAGTTAAAATGTTCAATGAAATCGCGACGTGATTTCAACAGCTACATATTTTTTGATATACCTTTTTTACTTCTTCGAAACATTGGAATGCAAATTACGAATATCAACTAAAATACGATCATGGTGACAATAAGGAAAAATTCTTAAGAAAGAAGTATTAGCTTTATTATAAAATACAATCTCCAGAACCAAGTTCCAACTATTATAACACTAGTCCTAAATTTCCTCTTAATTGCTAAGAGTGTCGCAAGCTGTGAGATGGGTTTTCTAAATAAAAATCATTTAAGAAATATTTAAGACGTACAAATGTTTATTTTACATTTATTGCGAACGAAGAAACAAGTGAAATAATAATATAATTTTAAAATGTGTCAATTTAAGTTTTTTTTTTTTCTTTTCTTTTCTTTTCTTTTCTTTTTTTTTTTTTTTTTTCCCCAAAAATAAATACAGAGTTTGAATTTATTTCTCTATGCGTCGTTTTGATAATTTTTTGTAGTTCTTTGTTTGCATATCAAGAGAGGCGGCAAACTCAATAACCACCCTAGGCGGTAAATTTAGGGACGTTCCTGGGAAGCAAAAGTTCCAGCTATGCCACTGCATAGCATACACAAGAATTAGGATAAAAATTTTTGCAATTGATTAATTATAAACCTTTTGATTACTAGAAAACTATTTGATTTATGAAACTCGACATATAAAATAACTCTCCTCACAAAATATTTTTGAAAACTTCAGATAAGCAGATTTTTTAAATGATAAATAAACGTATGCTGTATTGAGACAAATACCGAAGACAAATGAAAAATTTTATGTATTATCTTTTATTGCTAAAGCATCAAATTATCACGAATACTGTTTTAACGCAACTGAAAACTAGACTTCTCGAAGAGTGTTTTCTTCAAGCTGTTAATTATAGTTAAAGTAAAGTTTTCTAGCTGAATTAATTACAAACAATTTAAATTTCTGATCAATCTAAAGAAAATTATAAAATCATAGAACAAATAATATCAGCAGTAAAAACACTAGAAACGCGTTAACTTTTATCAGGCTATATCACGCTCGAAACTACGCCCTTCCGCGATTTTTTTAAGAGCTCTTATTTATGCTCCCTTTTAAATACTTCTTGAGAGAGCGAGTTAATTAATAAAAAGAAAAGACATTACATAGAAATTTGCTTAAAATGTTTAATATTACATTTGAGTTTTCGATACTTCAAAGACTAATTTGATTCGAGGATTAAATATGTTTTATTAGCAGCTAATGAACAATTAAATTACAACTGTCGTACACAAATGAGCACGAGAAATTACAATCTCCCCACATTCCCCACAAAAATTGTATCAACACAGAATAATTGATTTGGATGTGTATATGTTTTCGTTTCTTTTCGTTTAGTTTCAAAACTTTGAACTAACGACAACGACAAAAATTTCAGTAATGCCTCTACCGTTAGTTTTCACTGTTTTTTACTAATATTTCGAAGGGCAGGAAATAAACAGAGACGGCAGGCTACGAACGTGACAAACAGGTCGAAGGAACATGCGATATTAATCACACCCACAGCCACAGAGCAGAACCTAATTAATTTCACCAGTTATGCTTCCAAACGAGGTATCTCATTTAAATTCATGAGGATAAATTTTTAATGGGTAGTTGTTCGGAGTTTTCACATAAATTTCGATGTATTTCATACTTTATAAGCGACGCATCCAAAAATTCGTAAAGATGCCAAAAAATCTCACAAATCGAATGGTTGGGTATGAGCTCTTTTTGCATGGAAATGAAGTAAGATTTGTTTTACATGTGTGTGCGTATGTGCTATGAAAGGGGGATATATAATTCACTTAATGGGAGCATCTGGACTTAACGAATAAAAGAAAATTAATTCTGTAATGCTAATCCACAAGGGCTGTCCTTCCTAGACGGGTTGGGATGCCTGAACGTTCTAAGGTTTGCATTTACGTTATACAGGGACAGGGAAAAGTGGACGGAGCACCAGAACTTCGTCAGTGACTTTTACAGGTGTTGCTCCGCCGCACTACTGTAACCCGCTGGGCTTTTAGTTGGCCTGCATCCGGATGCTAGCCTACCAAGACATTTACATAGTAATTTTACATTAATACTAGACTAGTATTGAATATACAATTACAAAGACACAGTATATTATTACAGAAATTAACCTATTAACAAAGTTGGATTATGGCAAATTAATATAACATAATTACTTCGAACATACATACAAACTTCATTGTACATTGTACTTCATACAAACAATATATTTACATTAGTATATCTAGTTACATCGAATTACAATAAACATCTTTTTAAGGAACTAATTGGGGAAGATTTTTTTTTCATCTTATTATACTTAGTTGAATTATTAAGGCGGATTATCTTATTAATACATTTCCTTTCATTTTTTAACTTGTTACACACAACTGCATCAGCACTGAAGTCTTACATTATTATTTTTGTAAATTAATGATCATAAACACAGAAAATATACATTAGAAAATCAAATAATATACTACATTACACGAATATATCTAATAGAGTCGTATATAGTTATATTATTTTTAAATTAATGATTTAATTATTACAAGATTTTCCCCCCTTATCTCCTAATACAGTCCAAATTCTTAATGTAACTATTTTATAAAAACTAGTCATACCATATTTAGCCTGTTTCAGACATTTGCAATATTTCTGATATCTTGCATTATTTTTGCAAGTTGTGGAATAAAAGGTATTTATACAGATGTGATAGCATCTTGACATATGTCTTCTCTTTTATATGCGAAAACATTCTTCATAATCAAGGAAACCTTTTGTTGTAATTGAGGGATCGTTAGCATGCATTTAATGTACTCGGGGTAATTGTGACTTCCTTGCAGTGTAGCTCTTTGTGAGCTGCACTTGAAAATATAGTGTTCTGGGTTTCCTTTTTCCCCACATACGCACTTGTCTGAATCGCTCAAATTTCGTGCAAAGTAGTAACGTGGGGAAAGGACCATGTCCAGATAAGAATATGTTGATGAGAAGTTATAAGAGATTGGATCAAATGTGGGTTTCTTGTAGAAGTTGAAAAGCCTTCTACCTACTTCTGCATTTTCCCATTCAGTTTGCCATTTCTTTAATGTAATTTTTTTCAACATATGTTTCGCATACGATTTAGGGAATGGGACATTGAATGGAGATAGAGATGGGTCTTGAGCTGCCTTCTTAGCAAGCGCATCTGCCCTTTCATTTTGGGCTTGTCCAGCATGCGCTTTTACCCACTTTATTTTTATAGATGTTATTTACGTTATACAGGCGAAAAACTATGAAAACACCCATACAACTAGCCATTCGTCAGGATTCCATTGTTTACCGATCTTACTATTCGGCCATTGGTGGGCTGAAATGACTAGTAAATTTCATCACTTCTTACAAAACTCATAATAAGATTTCGAAAAACGTTCAATCGCCATGGATTGATGTTAAGCTTAACATAATATTTTTCTCAGTGATGCCGTTTAGATACACCAATGGCGAAGTGGATATATCTACTACGCCTGAGGTACCCGAGTATATTATACTGGTAACTCTATTGGACACTGGTTCAAGTGAATATGAGCCAGTTTCCTTCAAAGAATCTCCAACGAAGGCATTCTTCTCCTTAAACAGGGAGAAGTTGCCCATTTGCCTTGGTATGCTTTGCTATATCCAATAAATCCAATCCAGTGCACTGCATTAGATCATTTCTAGTTGACGAAACTGTATTCCAGTATGAAAACTGACAAACAATTCACTTGTTAAGGAGACGACCATTTTTAAGAATTAATAACAAAATTCTTGTGATTTATTGTTTTAAGGAAATTTAATTCAGAATAAATACATTAGGCCTAAATTGTATCTTAATCTAAGCAAATTTAGTGGAAGATAAAAAGTACTAAAACACTTACTCTTTGTCTCGAGGATCCGGCAAGCTTCTGTGGAGGGATATCATGTCGCTTATATACTGATTAAAAGCATTGTTCTTCCATCCTCTCTTCACAAGGATTTGCTGTTCCTCCGTTAGATTGCTCAACTTGACTGGCTTTCCCATTTCGCCGGGGCCATCGGGTTCGCGAGGGGGTAGTAGTACACCTTGTCCTTGTTCTACATGGTATTCAGGATCTTTGTTTCGAGCCTGAGCGTTGTTGCTGGGCTCGACTAGAAGGACATTAGGATGCGCAGGTTGTTGTTGCTGAAGAGAACGTTCTGCTTTGTGCTTTGGTTCGGAGGGCTTTTCCTCCCCAGCTGAGTGACTGGAAGTGGCAGCAAAAATGTAAGTCACAACCACCCACATGGCAGGAACGATAAGAAGACCCTTTATAATAAGTTTACGGCGCCGAGGCATCATCTTGCTGATTATAATACTGAACAATCAAATAACATAAAAGGAAAAGTCTTATATAATGAAAAAAAAAATCTGCTACAGACTATCAAAAATGGCAGAGGAACTTTGAGAAAAGATACTATGTTTTACTCTCGATTCAAACTAGAACAAAAGTCACGTAACTTTGGAAAAATATAAAAGGAACAGCGGTTGTCCTTTAATGCACTAATACTTTTATAAATGCTTGAATTAAATAAATATATGACTAAATTGAGTATATTACCCAACTACATGAAAAGAAATACTTAAATAATAGGATATCATGTCATAGTGAAGATATTAAAACAAATAAAATATTTTACATGAACCACAGAGTACGAAACAGAACATTATTGTCATAAACCAGTTATCATTTTCTAAGCCGACAGCTTGCCTAAATTAGGTTAAATAACAATCAACAAGGAGATCTTTCATTAAAATAATAAACAGCTTTGGACTTGAAAGGAAGCAGCATTGGACAGTTGTTATGGACCTGAAATATAAACAAAAATTATCACTTATATTGCATAAACATAAATGGATAGTTTTGTTATTCAATTCAACATCATTTAAAATACGTTATTATGCACTGAGATATAGCATTTATTTTTATTCTCTAAAATTCATAGTTTTCGGGGATACATTTCTAAAATTTAATTTGGAAAACTGTACTTGATATACTAGGTGTTTAATAATAATGCCATGTTAATACTAAAAAGGTAGGATTCATAAAAACCTTGTTGTGTTTCCTTCGATACCTTTGGATGCATGCATGATGGAAATTTATAGTAAATCGTATACAAAATCGTTTGCTATATAGTTTTTATGCACAGTATACTTCGGATGTCACCTTTATAGTGACCCTGTGTGAAAGAATAGTTCCAGTGTAGCTCATACAGGTCGTAAGAGGAGACTAAAGTGAGTACCCAGCGGTCGGGAGTATAGCCGGACACCCTGCCCCTGGGGATTATATCAGGGCGCTGGCCCTCCAGTTTGGGGGTTGGGCATAAGGCCCTTACCCAGTAAAAAATACTCTCACACCACAACAAAGTGTAGGAATTAAGATGGTTGAGCCATGTTTGGAGAAACCCAGAAGATAATCTCACTAAGATTTTGACATTAAAAAAACATAAAGGATACCGGACTGAAGACCACCGACTAGATGGTTAGATGACATTGAAAACGACTTTAAAAAATTGAAAATAAAAAATTGGAGAAGAGTCGTTGCAGATAGAAGACGCCGGATGAAGCATTCGGTTAAGGGAGCCAAAAGGCTTGTAAGGGGCTGTTGTGTTTGTGAAGAAGATACTTCAGATATGAGACGATTTTTTAATGATGGCCTCTCATACAAATTAATTACTAGCATTGGGTGTCTTTTCGCTTGATTTAAATACAACGGACTATTTCTATAGCAATATAAAGACCTTTGTCTACTCATTCAGGCTACATTCTTTTTCTCAACATCGCAGGAGCAAGCCGTGAAACGACTGATCAGCAAATGCGAAATAACTCCCACGGGTTGGGGAAGCAGGTTAATTTAATACGTCTAAAAAAGTGGTTGCCATGGAGAATTTTAGACGTCTGAATGTACCCAATAAAAGATACAAGAAACTTTCATGTGTAGTATAACTCTTTATTTCCCTTCGGGATTTAAAGTCCAATGAATAAAATCGATCAATTATGTCCCAACGGCACTTTTAAGCTCCAATTTTAAATTAAAATAAAAGCAATGAAAAACTTATAATAATTTTGTAAGTTCAACGTGAGATGCTTCTCATGCATAAAGAAATGTCATAAAAAAGTTTAAAACTCTTTTTCAAAACGTATAGTAACTTGGCACATAAAGGGTTAAACTGTAATATTTCTTATATGGGTACATGAAAAATCATTAACGTATAATCTTGGAAGAAGATACTTTTTGTTAGATACCTTGTAGAGCCATTAGGGGGCTTTTTTTGAAGCAGGAAACGTGAAAAATGTGCAATGCCCTCGACGGAACTCGAAACTGGACTTCTCGAATACGTACCGAGCGTGCTACAGTTACACCGCGAAGGCTTGCCGAAAGGAGGGAGAAAATACCTAATAATAACTTGTCACATCAAGAGATTCTCAAGGTTGCAAACATCAGACTAATCAAAACGAATCTGGACAAACACAACCAAATTTGGACTAAATCTGGATCTACCAGAATGAGATTTAATCTTGTTTTCCTACAAAGAAGTTCTCTTCTGCATTTACGCAGAAGCACAAGTGGTGTGATAGCACTACGATGAGTATAATCCCTGCTTTGAGCTGAGCCTTAGATAACTCTTTGATTTCGCTTGAGTGTCCTTTAAGGTTATTACAAGAAATCGTAGTTTGATTCATAAATGATATCTTGAATCTAAGCATGGGCCTAATGGATATCATCGCAGATTTTTCAAACTCAGACAGACCAAGGAATAACAAAAATGCAAAAGTAAATAATATTGACCATTTTCTCCCCATAATAAGAGAAAATGAGTAGTCAAAATTCGTTTCCTAAATCAACGAGCGTTTTATTGCGATTTTTAAATCAGTTGAGAAACGAATCAGCCTCAAAAGATTTCAGCCAGAATCGAATCAGAATTGACTGTTTCCCAAATCTAAATTCTTGACAGTCACATTGCAGTGGGCTACGTCATCGCACATTCTACGATTTTTTTCATTTTACATTCTATGAGTCAAATGAAAGCCAATATGGAATATTCTTTTCACAATTTTCCTAAGGCTGTTATAATTATACTTCCGTAAAACTACTTTAAATATTTTCTAACAATCCGCATTCCCAGTTTCATCATTCGGTAGAACTGCAATGATTTTGGCTTATTTTTGAGTATACACGCGATAATAGCTGACCCACGCATGTACATATCATGCACGTGTCCGAGTACACGTAGTTCATATTTAACCATTATTTCAGGAAACTTTACCCTTTTCAAACTGCTTTTCTGGGGGGGGGCAGATATGTGTATATGTAAGTGCCATAACGTAATGGTAATGGTAATGGTAAAGTGGAGTGGCCGACAAGAAAGAAAACATTAGATTTCTTCAGAAATATGGTGATTTGTCGTAACATAGAAAAAGCGAAAAACCACAAACTCCTCAGTGAGTGGCAACTTCTTGTAGGAGTGCAGATAATTCAAAGCATACATGTGTTCAATTAGGGTCTGTTACAACTAAAATCGGCAAATTAAATAATCTCGCTACTTGCTTTCTAAGTAGCAAAAGCACATAAGTAGCTTCCAAGTAGCTTCTATATTGCTAAAAAGCTGCACCGATTTATAAATCAATACTGTATGCAAAATCGGTACACTTTTGTATACAAAAAATGCATGCCAATCGATACAATGTTTAATTATCTAACTACCTCTGCTTGATCTAACACTGCAGTAAATTAAGTGTTTTACATCAGAAGTTCTTCGGGCTTGGTGCACTTTCAGTTCTATTTAAACCAGTGGTGTTGCATGCGTCTGAAGTTTATTAAGAGATTATGAAGTGTTTTTATAATAGCGTTTGCATCTTGATTCAATATAACCAATATTATATTTCAAGCTCGATGAAACTTTAGATTTTTTTCAAAAGCTTACTGAAACTAATACGGTTATTGTAAAGAAGAAAGAAAAGCCTTTAAAAATGTATATTTATTTACAGTTTTAATTATGTAACAGCTTGGGATGCCCAAAACAACGCACAGTAATGCTTTAAAATTGCATACAGTCGGCTTCCGATTTACCGTGATAATACCGGAGACTATGTCTACGGTTAACGAGAGTGCAGTTAAATAAAAACACAAGAAAGAGGAATAACCCATATTAGTATAATTTAAAAAAATGCTATTAATAATTTTACCTGCATTTTCATGTATCTTAATTCGGAGAATAACATCATTTAGTTACGTATAACTAAAGCAGAATTTGAAGCAAAAATAGCATATTGCAGGGGTTCTCAATCTTTTGACTGTCGCGTACCATCTAAACAAAGATTGAAAACCTTTAGTACCACCACTACAAAGTATTACTACTACCACCACTCTTGAACAAAGCTCAGATCGCATAAATTTACGCGTATTAGAGAAAAGACTCAATCGGAATGATGAGGTTTTAATTTTTTAATTTAATAGTTAAAAATACTTTGCTTCTTTGCGTACCACCGGTTGAGAACTCCTGCCATATTGAAAAGAATAATAAAAATCCTGAAGAAACTAAGTTATAAATGACATTAAAAAACAATACCCAAGAGAATTTGCATGATATCATTGAGTTCAAACTCGTGTAAGACAATTCAGTTAGAACGTTTTGTTTTCGAAAGTTCATCTGACAGACAATATATGCTTAACACATTCCTTTTATAATGCAATTATCCCTTGCATTTTAATTTTCAATTTTGAATGCTGTTATTTTATACATTTTAATTCCTCCTTTCGAATCTTCCAAACACAGTTTTGTTTTACGCTGATGATTTGCGACAGCAATTTTTCCATTATTCCAGAACAAAAAAAAAGTAATTATTATTTAATTTTATTTTTTTTTTTTTTTGACACAGCCCTGTTAATCCGTCCGTGGTTAATCGGGAGTTGACTGTAATAATTCGCTCCTAGACCACCGACGTAAATACACATATTTTTTTTTCGGTAGACCAAAAGTTAATATAGTTACACGATTTCCCCAAAATAAGTAAACTAATTAATAAAGTAGCAAGCTTCGAATCAACACCTCGGAAAAGTATTTACAATTTGTAATGTTCCAACCTAGAATTTACAGCTAAATGTGTGGAACCTTGAAAACTGGTATGTGATAATCGCTTTAGTTCAGTAGACAGAGAACAGAATACTCAAGAAGGGTTAATTACTTTTTATGGCTCAAAATAAAGTTAACAGACATTCCGTTAACTTTATTTATTCTCTCAGGACGTACAGAAAAGCCTCTACTTGGGCTTGAACTCAAGAATACTAAGCAATAAAACTTAACTAAAAAGATATAGCCGAAGCTATCTAAATTCTACAGGAGTTGGCCCCTTAACACTAACTACACAGATAAGCTATCAAAGGCCTAAAAATACGGCCGAGCGCAGTAATAGCTTACAGAGAGTATAGCCAAACGAGCGAAAGAGTGCTGGTCAGAATCTCTGGCTCTCTAACGAAGTCAGTAGAACTTCCACTTTAAATACTTGCTCTTCCTCCATTTGCATTTAACCGCGATTCTGAAAACACGTTCTATCAGGAAAGTGTAAGCTGAAATTAAGAAAGATGGGAAAGTGTCTTTAACTAAAAAGTAACTGTTAAAAACTTAGGATAAACCTTTTAAATTAACAATAAAAATATCTCTACAAAATGTAAAACATAATACAAATTTAAAACAAAAACAAAAAAATATTTGCTTAACACATGGCGTCAGAAACATCTTTTGTAACTTTGAAGCTGCAAATGTTCATTAAAATTATTAATTAGATAAATTATAAGTTTAATTTATTTTT